ACCGAAAACTCGTGCAAGCGTTCGAAAGAGTTAATGCGCAAACTACGCAGGGTTACCGTGAGTGAGAACTCGAAGAGCCTGAGGTTAGGAAACTTACATCTGGATTATGCAAACTACTCGACCCGTCAGTACTGTCAGTGACGATACAGTGGGACGAACATAAGTCCATAACGTACACAGTCCAGCAGCTAATTTCAAGATTTTAGTATGAGTACCAGAACGAAAAAGAGGTTCACCAGCCGGCTCACCAAAGGCGACAAGTGATAACGTCATCTAGAAACAGCGCGTCAGGCAGGTACATTGAGGACCACAAGCAGTCACGCACTATCCAAGTGACCAGAATAACATTATTTTTGCTGACTAGGATCCTCGATCAGGAGAATTTGTGGAGATACAAGGGAAACGAGCTCAATCTTACATTTGTACAAACGAATTGCGAACATCCTAAAAGTAGGTGCATTAACACCTATTAATATCGATTCCACGAGATGACTCACGTCCGGATAATGAAGTCGGAGAGAAACTGTCGTAAATTACTTCAGACCAATTTTTCTCGAAGTGAAGCAAATACCTACTGATACTATGGAACGAGCCTATGAGCAGAGAGGAAGCGCAAATTATTCGTCAGTCCAGCCTTGAAGTCAACGGGCGGTTTCGCCTTACCTGAGTGTAACTCCTGCACGTTATGAAGGGGACAATAGTCGAAAAGTCACCAGTGTCAGAACCGAGGATTGACAGAGCCAAGGGAGAAGACATACCAACCCCCGGCCACTGATGCGAGAGGATCGGCCGAATGAGTGACTAGATCATAGTACAAAATATATCCGGTGAGCATAGAATCGACGGTGCACAATACACTGAGGGGAGTAAATTCGAAAGTCAGATCGCCATATAGCCTCAATTGCTGCCCAGACCCACAAGAGAAATGCAATCTAGGGCCATCGGATCAGTTTTGAGCACACAAAAAAATTGGTCCTTGACCGACAAAGAACTCACCACTGCTTTATAGGCTGGTCCATCTCGGGACTTCCGAGTAAAGTAAATGTAGGTTTGGACACAGGTAACACCCCACAGGCTACGATTCCATGTGAGAAGATCAAGAAAATCCCGGAGTAAATTTGAAGATCCACGAACGCCGTTGAGATCAGCCCGCCAATGAGCAAAGGTCCAAAACTGGTGTCGAGGTCCATTTTTGCGACGGGGGGTGAGGAGGCCATTTTGAGTGTATCTACGAGGAGAGCGCAGACTGGGGAAGGAAATGGGAAACCGTGAAGGAATGAAAGCGAGTTAAATTGTGTAGGGATTGGAACGCACCCGATGCTCATCTCTTCAAGTGGTCGAATATCCCCCGACAGAGTCATCAACGACCGGTGTTGTCAATCCGAGAACAACAAGACGTCCCGAATTTAACCCACCCACCATGCGTTCGAACGTCTACTGTATGTCGGGCCGACCAATCAGTTCTTCTTTTTCTGTGAGAAGAGAGAGCATACTTACGAGAGAACGATACAAGTCAAATACGTTGATGTCAGAATCGAGGAACTTAGACGGCTCCGTGAAGCTCGCACCTTTTGTTGTCGGCCTCGATGCTTACTGCCTGATCATCCTGTCGATTCGAACTCAATCATTACTAGTAATGATTGATGATTGTGGGTTTGAGGTGGACGAGAAAAATTGCGAGGTTCTCCTGGCCTCGAGGAGTGACTGTTACTGTGCGACGCTAGCGGACTTGGAACTTGGAAGTTGATAGTATCACCGGCCGGACCGATGATCAGACTTTCGACCTGCCCTAAACACCGCTCCTTCGCTCATACAACGGCGCGCCGACCTTGGCACCGACAGTAACGACCAGTCCGACGTTTGGTTGAACTTTGACAACTTTGAATACTTGAACGTGCGGCCAAACCGTCATGTCGCACTCGCTAACTTGTTTCTGGGACTTCGTGAGTGCTTTGATCGTTGACTTTTCGTCACTGTCGTTTGCTGACCAAATGGGCCTGCTCGCCAGACCTAGTTCTAGCCGCTTCATCGGGGAGAAAAAGTCATCGCGATTCGCGACGACTAGAGTAAAGGCGCTTGACAAACTTAGGGTTGAAGGAAACTGCGAGGGTCGTGAACGTTTATGGGAGGGTTGACGTCCTTGTAATGCTGGTGCTTTCGAGGTAATTTTTACTTTGATCAGAGGGATGGGTTCTGAGGAATTTTTGGCGTATCCAGGATATGCTATCATTGACCTAGTTGGGAAGAAACGTTCAAGCAATTCACGTACGTCGTTTCCATTTTGTCATCCGTCGACTGACCTATATCCGGCTCCAGCACTAATGTCTTTGGCGCATTGAACGTTGCTCGTGCATTCCTCCCATATATGCGCAAGCGTCGAACTGGAACCATTGTATTCCCGGGTTCTATCACCGGACAATCGTTCGTATCAAGTTTCTGTAGCTTAGTTCGCGACCTTATGCTAATGAATTCATTTTCTTTAGGGCGATTTCAGCTCTGGGATTTATTCTGCGACGAAGTGTGCTATTCGAGGTACGCATGTGCATATAGCCTGCTCCAGTCGTCGAGGAATGATGTTTGTAGGGATGGATCCTCAATGGGGAAGTTACACCATTGGGTCTTCGAAGTATCTGCATCGAGTTTGGGTATTCTAGGACTGCGTTTTTATCCCCGGATCATTGGGGACCATCTCCCCAGCATATCGAAGACAATCGAGGGATGGCGGAGAAAATGGATGCCTTCTTACGTGGTAAATATACTCGCTGAGAAACCTACCAGATATTAAACTGATTGTCCGTTTTCTCCAGAAGCGGATGGAAAGCAGCCTGGTGATCCCGTGAAAGGTGTCAGCGTGATTCTGGATATCGTTCGTGGGGTTGGCTAAAGGCCACGAGTTCCCTCCCGTTTTCACCTTAGGGTGCGATCGTTCCTCCGCGACGAGGGCAGAGCCGGATGCGACTCAGAAGAAGTTGGGCGAATGGAAGGAGGTTGCCTTTAGCACCGATTTCTACACTGCGGGGGTAGGGTTATTCCCAAACGTTAATTTGGTAAATCCCCAGGATTACTGATGCTAAATTATGGATCCTGATCTCAAACTTGGACTTCATTCAGGCTAGGGGTAGCCCCAACGCCTGAGTCGAACAACAGTCGAACTGTCCAGGAAGGAAGAGACACCATTTAGATACATCCCTGAATAGGCACAATCTCGTTGCCCATACGCATCGAGCGAGTTCCGGTGGTGCGCATGTTGGGCGACGCGGTTTTGACTTGCCTAAAAGCCGATTTGCACGCCAGTCACGGTGAGGACCATCTGGCCAGGCGTATCCGCCGCAGCGACGTCACTAGGATCTGAGACTGACTCGGGTTCACTGCCGGACCTGGTACGATAACGTCAATCTCAGACTTGTACCGTACATAAAGGTTTCGAGGACTGAGACTCTCTCCTTCGAAGGTTGTTCTTCGACTTGCACACTTGATCATCATGTCGCAACCTCATCAGCTCGTTTGGGTTATCACTGGGACTTCGTGAGTGTTTCTGTGTCTCTGCTGTCCTGGTATCATATCGAGTCTAACACCTCGATCAGGTCTGGCTTCGGACGGGACCTCGTCCTTGCCGCTTTAGACCGAGGTGAAAAGGTCATTGCAACCGCCCGAGGCAAGTCACTCGATAAGCTTGATGATCTCAAAGCCAAGGGCGCATATATTCTGGAATTGGACGTGACGGATTCGTTGGATTCGTTGAAGGAGGTTGCGAAGAAGGCTGTGGCTGTTTATGGGAGGGTTGATGTTCTTGTCAATAACGCTGGTGAGTAGGCTGGGATTTTTCGTTGTTTGTGGAATGGAGGAGAAGTACTGACGAGGTTGGACTTATAGGCTATGCTATCATGGGTCCAGTCGAAGAGAATAGGTCCGTTCTGTCGTCATCGTTCGCGTTGACTTGGAACTAAGTAAATTTGTGTTGTACAGCCCAGAGGAAACGTTCGAGCAGTTCAAGTACCTCGCCGCTGTTCTTCGTTTTCCTCGCTTGCTAATGCGCATATATTCGGTTCTAGCACCAACGTCTTTGGCGCTCAACCTTACTCGTGCATTCCTCCCTTACATGCGCAAGCGTAAAACTGGGACCCTTGTTTTCGCGGGTTCCATTGCTGGGCGATCGTTCGTATCGAATGTCTTCACGTCTTCGGCTGTGTGCTCACGTTTGAGTCTAGCGTTATCCCTTCGGTTGGGCTTTATTCTTCAACCAAGTATGCTATTCGAGGTATGTATACGCATACACCCGTTCGATGCTTCACTGAGTGCCAATATCATCAACTTCTGTAGGGATATCCCTGTGTCTCCATGCAGAAATTGCACCTTTGGGTCTTCGAAGCATTTGCATCGAATTTGGTTATTTCAGAACCGCATTTTTAGCTCCGGGTCATCGGGGAGTTGCTCCTCAGCATATGGAGGATTATCGGGAGATGGCAGAGAAGCACGAGGCCTTCTTACAAGGTAGTTTCATTCCGTCATTCCGAATATCATTGGGTATCTAATGATTTGTCCCCATTTGTTAGACGCTGACGGAAAGCAGCTCGGAGACCCTGTAAAAGGCGTCAAAGCGATCTTGGATGTTGTTCGAGGAGAAGTGGTGGCTAAAGGCCATCAGTTCCCTGAGGTTCTCGCTTTGGGGAGTGATAGTTTCTCTGGGACGATGGAGGAGGCTGAGACGAGCCAGAAGCGGTTGAACGAATGGAAGGAGGTTTCTTATAGCACCGATTTTTAGTGATCAACGTCGTTCTGTGCTCTCGACTTGAGCCGTGTTGGAACAAGTCTGTCTTTGAACTGAATGCATTCTGTTTGCTGTATCATACTCACGAGATCAGGGCTGTAAATGTGCATGTTAGACGCATCGCGATATCCTGGGCCACCCAGGCACTTGAAAATGAATCCTGAAGGGCTGTGGGCTGCTTTAAAACGTAGTCTCGAGCCTACGCAAGACGGCTGTCGACCTGGAACTATGCGGGAAAGTAGCATAACTGGTTAATGCGGCTCATGCAATGTCGCATGTTCGCATCATTGCGAGAAGTTCTTAGTTCGATTCTGAGCTTTCCCGTTCGTTGAAGGGCAGGATATTTTGTCACAATTTCGAGACGTTTTGACCTTCAAGTTGACAGTTGAGCCTTGCTAAAGCTCTAGCACTCGTATTGTGAGCCAGAGGAACCATAGGCTGGCGGGGATGCCAGTGGCCCATTCCCACTCAGAGCATCATACTGTATTGTCTGAAGGGTGCCGGTGGTATAAATTCATGTGGGGACACAAGGTGTACTTGGTATGTTGATGGGAAACCGTCAGCAAGACGAGGGTCCTAGTTCGAGTCTAGGTCGTTCCTTTACATGTATCTAAGCATTTTCTGGCAGATGTTTTTTTACAAGGTGGTAACCTTTTATTTTAGGATGGCGCATAGGATCCAGGACTTGCCTTTGGCAACGATCTAGACAATACCTTTACTGGATTCTACCTGGTGTTTGGGGAAGGTAAGAACACCCCACCAACCAATATGTGGTCAAAGGATACTATCCCAGCTGATCAACAAGCACAGCAAAGTAAAAAATCAATTTTCGTCGGAACCCGAGGAATCGCTATCTTCACCACCAACAACCTTCAATTTAAGACGTCCCACCGCGCTCTTCAAGTCATCCGCCACCTTTTCGTTCAACGCCACTGGTATAATAACCGACAATTCGGTGAGGCGGTGGAGGACACACGACCGAAGGAGCAGAAAAGGGACGAAAAGCCCGAGGTGTTCAGTCAGGTTACCCTGGGTGTCTTCGTACCGAAGCACTTCGAGGGCTGGGAACAGCGTCAATGGTACCAACAGCTCCTCACGGGATCGAATGGGAGGGTTCGACATGGCGGAGACGAAGAATTCGTAGTGGGTCCGGCAAAAGTGGGACAAGAAACTCCATGCGAAAACGTTATGAACCTTGACGGTGTGGAGGTGCGGTAATGCCTGAAAGATGTACCAGAATGTGGGAGGTAGACGAGGCGCCAACCCTTGGTCGTCTACTTCGAGCACCTCTAATTCGTCTAGAGGGAGGTGCAGCAGTGCGCTCTCTGCCGCGTCCAGGGCCAGAGTTGAACCGCAAAGAGATAGTGTGATCGAGGCATGTCGTCCGTCCTCGTCTCGTTCCTTGATGTGGTATATATGCTTGGTAGGGGACACGATAACTCGAACACTGCGTATGGGCATATCCGAAGTTCGGCAGCCATTTAACGCATCTATGACGCGGAGATAGTCTGGCTCGTCCCGCTCAGTCAGAGAAAGCTTGACCCGCGCGGTAGCGGGGATGGCGAGGTGGTCGAGCAATAGAAGGGCGTCTTCACAATCTTCTGACCCAATAAACAAGTAGCGCAACATAGGAAGTGATAGACGGATATCAGATTGTGGTTCTTCATGGGATAGAGCCCAGTCGAGCGTCAAGGAGGTGAGAAGTGGTGACCAGCATAATTTGTCGAGAAGGCTCTGTATGCTGATAGGGAAAACTTCTGGGCGGGATATGAACAGCTTCTTCAGTGCGGGAAGTGGAGGCAAGTCGTCAAGATCGAGCATACAACCCCTCAGATACAGAGACTTGAGAGAAGGCGCAACACCCGCGAAGATGTTGTCCGAGAATTGGCAATTATAAACGTCCAGAGCTTTTAGAATTGGTGCTGGGGTCATCCACGCCTCTATTCCTGCGGTCATATCGTCCTCGTCAAAGCACTCGCCCTGAATATCGAGCTTCTGAATCTGAGGAAGTGAATGAAGGATTGTAGGCATTGGTTCGGCGCATCCCCTGTCGTCGATGTCCACAGAAAAGGATATTGGCATCCCTCGACACCTGTCTACGGACGCACGAATGAACTCGAGGTTTGAAGAACGGATTTCAGTCCAAAGAGACGGGGTGTTAAGCGCAATGTACCTCCATTGTCGGCAAATGGAGGTGATCGTCAGAAGGGCCTTGGCTCGCCTCGAGCTATGTGGGATGGCTTTTTGGAAGATTTTGACGGTGAGTTCTTCAGGAATATAGAATATATGCGGGTGGTTGGTTGAGGACTTGTCCATGGAGGTAGGGAAGCAAGTACCGAGAAAGAAGAGGCGAAGAGTTTCCCTGTCATTGTTTGGGTGTGCTTGGGCGGCGAATTCCATTCGGGCGAAGACCTTTCCATAAATATTGTGCAAGAAATCGTAAGTGTATGAGTTGCTGTCATGAGTGCGTTATACACACACGGATGGTAAATGATACAAAGACAGAAACGAAGAGGGGAGGCCGGCATAAATCACGTCCACTTCAAGTTCTTTCATCGGTTTCGGCTTCTGTCATTCTTATCCACATGCCGCCCTAGAACGTAGAAGTACATTAGCTCGATGACACAGGTTTATCACTTCACAAGAAAGAGGAGAGCTCACCGAGCTATACATTGTCAAATGCATCCTCGGACGCATCTTCTCAGTGCCCTTCCTTCCAGGTTGCCCAGCCCAATCAGCAGGAGGTCTCATTTCAGGTTCCCAAGCGCCTAAATCCAGTGAGAACGAAGAGAAGTTTTGAAGAAGCCGAATGAGCATGAACGACATCTCGTTATATGCGAACTAGAGCGAGCTGAGCAGATGAACATGCAAATGTATACGAATGATGACCTACTTGTTGGCCAAGACAGATGCGAGGTCCTGCGTTGAATGGAAGGAAAATGAAGGAGTTATTGATGAGGTATTTCTTTAGACGCTCGTCGAGGAACCTGTCTGGATCGAATTCATCGGCTAGGGCAGTTGTAAGCCCAGATACGTGATTATCGAGCATAAACCTTACCATCTGGACCCCAGAGGTCTTTCCGCCTTTGCATGATAAGAACAGAGTACGGGATTCTGAGATAGAGCCCCGTCAGAAGAGAGAATAACGAGAAGATTGCGATGCATACTTTGTGCCAGCAGGAAGGAAGATAGGTGGTTGTGTTGGATCAGGCGAAGGCCATGTCGTTGCTTTGACAGCCTCTCTATTTTGAGATGAAGATATTGAGAAGCAATAGGTAAGATGGGGACGTACCGAATGTTGAATGGGACACTCGGGAATAAACGCAGTGTTTCTGGATTCGATGCAATAAGACTGAATAATCAGCAGGAAGCATGAGAGGCGATTGACCGTTGATGACTGCTCGCAAGTATTTCATCTCCCGAATATCGTCATACGTAGGTCTTCTTGACGATCCTACCTTGTTCAACACCTCCTCTCGAAGGCGGTTCGCCAAATGAGGGTGCATGGAAAGTAGGTAGATCGCGAAGGTAAGCGTAGCAGCAGTGGTATCACGTCCAGCTAGGATGATGCTTAGCATCCGACTAGCCAGGAAGCAAACGATGATGTATACCAATCATGATGTTCAAAGTTTCGTCTTTAATGACCACCGCATCTATAAAAGAATGAGGGGATCAAATCGTCAGCAAATCGGAGAACTCACCATCTGTCAGACTGACTAAATGGTCCAATAGCGTCTCATCCTCTCTAAACTCTTTTTCTTTAGCTCTCTTTTCCCATCCATCTCTATCTACGCTACTAGCCGTATTCCCCAGGAGCCTCTGTCTCTCCAATGCCTCCTGAACGATCGGCTCGATATACCCATTCACTACCTTCATCGGTTCCTCCGTTTTATCCTTCAAAATTTCGGCTAATGGCCAAGTCCAACCCAACCTCTCCCTATTCGCAATCATCTCTTGGACATCCGCGAAAGCCTTTGCAAAATCCGTAGTGTTCTTTGACAGCGGCGTATTCACCTCATCTCTACCCAAGAACAACCCACCCTCCGAAACATTGTGAGGGTATGGTAGCCCAGTGGCTAACGAATGGACGCAGTTCCCAAACAGAAACTCCGTTGCGGTATCCAGTGTGAATCGTGACATAAGATCCTGGAAATCGACGGGTTGGTTTTGACGTAGACGGGATTTGAGAGCGGAAATGACGGCTTCGGTGTGTCGGTCGAATAAATTGAAGTCGCTAATTCGATCTCGAGTGAAGACGGGGCGGGTGATGGAACGATGGAATTTCCACATGTCCCCATCTGAATTGAACACTCCTGTACCGAGTACCGAGCGCATGCTGTTGCGGAATCGATTACCTACATCCAACAATCGTGTTAGGCAAGATCCGGACAGAACATATCATGACGAACCTTTCACGAAGTTGTTAAAATCCGTTGCGAGAATCAATTTGAGGTGTTCGGGATGAGAGGTGAAGACCAGGTCGTCCCAGAAAATCCTCATGTTGAACGTAGGCCCTTTGGTCTCGAGAATATCCCATAGCCCATCCCCTTCATCATAGCACCCGATTATTGTCATCACGAGAATGAGTAAAGTCAACATACCTGGATACCCAAACTTCCAGTTATTCAGCATCGTGGTCAAGATATCATAGTTCCCGGGGTAGACTCCTTCAGCTCGAGGGGCCAAGCGAGCGCCAACAGCTGCTGCATCTCTTCTGTCCTTGATTTCTTTCGTGATGATGGTGAAAGCAGAGATGACGGGGAAAGAGATGAATGCGATTGTCAGAAGAAGCCATGTCGGTATCAGTAAATCTGCAAAATGGGCTAAAGCATGCTGGAGGGCGAAGGCTCCGGCCAATGGCACGATAGATGTTGCGAAATATCCACCTATAAAGCGAACTCCAGGTGTTAGGAGCGTCATTTGCGGGTCCTGGGACGAGGATGGTCCTCACCGCCGCTTTATAAATTGAGCGAATATATGTATAGCTCGGATGCTCCCAACTTGCCCAAGGCCAAGGCCCATATGATACCGCTGAACTGAATTGGACCCAGTGATCAGCTGTTCGGGAAGCACATGAGCCAAACGACCTCGACAGAGCTGAGAGAGTGAGAACCTCCGGTTTCCCGGCATACCAACTGCCGGTGTATGGTCGGGCAACTCGGAGACTGATGACGTAAGCGGAATTGATTCGAAACTTTGTGATTGCGTTGACGCGTTTTGTCTTCAAGCAGCAGCTGGCCTTTCCCCTTCCCCGTTCAATTGCAGAACTTAAATTGACGCTGCATAACTATGGCATTCGCAAGTACATCTGCCCAACCATTCGA